CGCTATTGTATCGTTAAAAATTAGAAAATTAAGCTTCGTTTAAATACTGGCTCCCTTTCATGGTCGAATGAGTGTTGCCAGCTAAAACACGTAAAAATAATATTAAAGTAGCCAAGACATAGCCAAATATTGTAGCGCCACATCACTAGCGGACATTTGAAATTTGCCGACTAGGACGGTCGGTTAATCGGGGGTCGGATAATCGAGGCTCTACTGTACTGTACCTATTTTATCTTCGTATATTTTTGGGTGACATCTAAACTATAATTTTTCAAAGAAGTTCAAGATCCTCGGAGGAATTCTTATACATTTCGTATTGCAAATACTATTTAAAAACAAAACAAAAGGTTATTTTATAGAAATAATTTAAAATTACACGAAAACTGCAGTAAATAGATGTCCATTATAAATTTTTTTTCAGACAATTGCCATTAGAAAAAAAAGCAGAGCAACTAAAACAATACTCTTTAATCATTGAGCGTAACCAAAGTTCCTCAATGTTTCAAGTTTTTTGGATAAGATTAAATCTTTAAAAAATGTAAAATTACACATCAGTAAAGTAAGAAAACTATTGTATAATTTAAGTAATTTTCAAATATATATTCAATTTAAATAAAAATTTATTTATGTAATTATTTTATTAGTAAATTGCATATTAGTTAAAATTACTCGGAAAGATTTAAAAAAAAAAAAAAAAATACAAGGAAACGAAGATCAGAAAATTGTATTTTTTTTCTATTGTTAAATCTAGATAATGTGCATAAGTGTTTATAAAGTCTCTCTAATTGCAGATAAAAAGTACAGTAGACCCCCTATAACACTGTTGATAATTCCGTTTTATATGAATTCCATGTTGTACGAGTCACTTAGATTTTACAAATACGTGTGCCGTTCACAGCCCAGCACAAGAATTTGTAAAATTGTGACTCGTACAACATAGAATTCATATAAAACGGAATTATCAACTGTGTTATAGGGGGTCGACTGTATAATTTAGAAGGGAAGAACTTCTGGCATTTTATTTCTTAAAAAAGTAATAGAATCTTGGAATTTTTTTATCATAAAAAAATTGATTTTTGTAAATTACACGAAGCTATTTTTTCTCTTTACTGAATTTAAAAATATTTCAGAGTAAGTATATTGTATATTAACTCTGTCTTGTGGGCACTAAGAGGGCCTTTTGGTTTAACAAGCTAATAGCTATTCGACCAGACCCACAACAAGGAGGCAGGGTAGTGAGCCCGACATATCTGAACGTTTTATTACATAGGTACAAAATGTAGGCCTGTGGATAAACGTAACATCTATTGTAAAAAATCCAAAGTTTATTGTTCTGCGTGTTCGAGTATAGGACGAGAGAGGCTAACCACTCGGCCGCTGGTGGACATCTTGTTTGTTTGTTAAGTTATGGCAACGCAACACTTGGGCGATCTGTCTAAGGGATGCCTTCCGGGAGGTCTTTTTAAGGAAAACTGACCCCTATTTAGGCGTTACAGATGTGGAGAAAACACGGAAAACTCCACATGGCCAGCTCGTCCGAGAGAGGTGCGAACCCACGACCGAACTCCCAGTGTTCGGGGTACGAAGGTCGCTTGGCCACTGGTGGGTCTAGGTGGACATCTACACATATATAAAAGAGTGCAGGTGGCCACACGAATGTAAAATTGTCCATTTTGAATAAAATTTCGAGCGATACTGAAATGTTAACATCTGTATGTGAAGTTGAAAAAAAGTTCATACTGCACATGAAGATTACAAGAACAAAAGTGAGTGGACCAATGT